AAAGGTTCAGCGTTCTAACCCTTTGACCTTTCTAAGAATTCAGACAGTATGTCATTAATCAAATCTTGAAACGCCATTTTGATAATGCAAAATGCGGTTATTAAATAAATTAAGGTAACTAATTGAAAAAGATAAATATGTACTTGAAAAAAACCGGGCAGAAATAATTTGTTTTTTATTTAATTTAAGAATAGTTTTGCCTGAATAAAACCTTCTTGGAAATCGTTCCTCTTTTTAGACCTCTTGGATTGTCAAAAAACTTTGATTAGGGTCATCTTTAATGTAAAGTGAATACCGCAGAGTGAAACATAACGAATTATACGTACATATATGTAATTAGTTAACCTTTGACGCAAATAAAAAAGGAACAAATTGACCTCAAGCTAAAACTCACATGAATAGGCATACTTACTCTTTGAAAGTTATGTAATTTAAATCAATGTAGACTTGACATTTCCTAAATTCAATATATTACTGATGCCATCTTTATGAAATTATGTCAAACGAATGATATACTCGTATTATGAATAGCTGTTTTCTAGAAGTCATCACAGAGATTCACTCTCAAGTCCTCAGATATCCAAAAACTTGAATTAAAGTTAAAGCAAATGTAGGAGTGTTACGAGAACTTTTAGGCAACGATAACCGCTTACCATCAAGGGGCCGTGTACTTGTTTCTTTAGTGACCTCTTATAAAAAGGCAACGGGCTCCAAACAACGGCAATATAATTGTTTGTTCACGGCCCGAGCACTCATTTCTAACAGAAGTAGGCATATCTAATATTTACATCCGTTGAAATTTCAAATTCCCTTTCTACCGATACCGTTTTTCGAGGATACTAAAATTGAAAGTACGTCCGCTGCGGGCCAAAAATGTATTAACAGGTACAATCGAGATTTGGTTGCTTAAATTAAACAGATGACAATTAATCTACTACCAGATAGGTATATACATAAGTTTACTAGCGTTTGTCATAGCTAAGTCCTCAACCGAAACGAATCCATAACACGAAATAAAAAAACTATTCAAATATCGAATTCTTACTAATAAAAACAATCATAAAGGATTTATGTTTATCCTTGACGTTGTTCAAGTTTATAACTTTGCGCTCGAAAGTGACACAGGCCGTATTTTATTTCGAAATAAAACTATTATTGAGGAATGTCTGGTTATTGTTAGTCTGTGAAAGCTAGGTACTTAAATACAGATTTCATAAAAGAAAGTTATCAATCGTTTTGCTACAATATGTATAAATTCAATTATAGATAATAGATAGGGTAAAACTTAAAAAGAAAACAATATAATTACGCTCCACAAACCAGAAATTATACTAAAATTCATTAAGACAAATTTAACTATCAAAATATATTACATATGGCTGCGTCTTACAAAACAAATTGCACACCCATCTACATAAGAACTCATACAATTAAATAAAATATAACATCAATCAAATTAATGACTTGGTTAAATTGCGCAGTGTGACTTTCGCGGACGGCCTTCTGTGTCGCAAGGCCGGCGACATACAGGCTAGCTGGTAACCGTACATAATTATATATACTACATAAAGAACTTACAAACAGAGGTCTTAGATGCGAAGTTTTGCATAATCATTGAATCTTATGACGTGTCCAACAACACGTTTAGGTGCTTAATGCTTTATTCATGTAATACATATTGAATGTTTGCTTCGAAAATATATTGAAATAACGGCAAATTATACGCTTGAGTATAAGTTAAATGTGGTTTTCTTTTTTTTTGCTAATAACTGATATCCTAAATAGAATTTCGAATGAAATATAATATCTTTTTTTTAATGTGAACTGTCTGACTCATGTAGGAAAAATCTCAAACTTTTACTCAGTGACTGAAATCACAAAACATGTCAAAATATAGAAAAATACATAACAGTGACAGTGACTCTTCTATCATCACAAATGGCAAACGTCTAATCAAATTTATTTAACTGTTCATCGTAGTATTAAATAAATTTGTACATTGTTGATTGTATATTATTATATTCTAACACAGGAAATTCGTTTTGTTTTATGCCACAGCGTAAAAGTGTCCGTGTTTCTCTATGCAAATTCTAAAATGACGAAGCAAAACGATAGTTACATGATGCGATAATGTCTAGTAGCTATGGAATGACAATCTATGCATTCGTGCATAGAGCAAAAATATAGTAGCTCTAGATGCATAGTCTCTATTTATAAGTATACTTACAAGGCTTTTTCAAATAGCAGTCGAAACAAAAAAAGGAAAACGAAAGATTATTTTTTTAAATTGTATTCAATTACATGGATATATTAGCAGAGCGAGAAGAGAGTCGTCCTAATTGCTGTACAGTACAAGACATAAAATTGATGGAAATGGCCCTATTTTGCATGCAATATTGACTTAAATCCTACATTAAACTTAAATATTCGTCGTTTAAGTTTAATATAATTCTCCAATTCTCGTCATAAAAGTTCGGTTACAATTCAGATCCGATCAACTATCGATCTCACAATTGCCATAAAAGGTATTTTGGTAGTAAATACATAGTTTGCCTAATTTAAAAAACCGGTCAGGTACGTGCGCCGAGGGTTCCGTACCTATCCAAATTTTACGTACCCGGAATTTACCCATATCTTTTTATCGTGTTGACTCAGGTCCTTGATTTTTATACACCTAATAGGGACCATAGACCTCAGTATCTGGTATAAATTTCAACTTGCTGGATCTACCCGTTCCTGAGAAAATCGGTGGTGACACACGGACAGACAGACAGACCGACAGTGATCTTATAAAAGTTCCCTTTTTACCTTTTGAGGTACGGTACCCTAAATTATAAAGATACGAACAGAATAAGAGAACGTACCGAAATTTTAGTAAATTAATAATACAAGGAGTGGTGATAATTTCTATTCAAAAAGGTTAATCCAGATAAAAAAATAAGGTGATTGCAATGGTATTAAGATCGTGGTCGTAAACTCAAAATAAAACGATTAAAAACGAGCCGTCAATTTATAGTTCTTGTGCTTTATTAGGGTGCCCGGATTTTCGCGAAAACATGTAAGTACCAAAATTTACCTTAATTTTCAACTTTTTTTATTTTTCAGAATTTTCTCTTTACTTGTGCTGTAAGACCTTGCTTTTAACCAAAATTGACAATGCTAGGTCAACCGGAAGTTGGACCTGAAATAACATGGTCCGGGTCCTCCCCAGAGTAAGACACCTGAGGCCGGCCGTCGGGGTGGTTTTTAGTGGAATCACCACATACTCCTGGCTCATAGTCCCCAAGGAGCAGGAGATCCGAAGGGATTTTCCACCCCGTCAATAAAAAAAAAAAAAAAAAAGGTCAACCGGAAGTACCCTATAGTAGTAGTAGTTTTAGGTCGAAAACCTATATGGTAGTTCCCATTGACCTAGAATCATGAAATTTGCCAAAAAGAAACGTCTTACAGCACAAATCAAGGTATAATAAAAAAAAAATAAAAAAAGTTGAAAATTAAAATAGATTTTGGTACTTACAAATTTTCGCGAAAATCTACGTAAAATCTGGGTAGGTACGGAACCCTCGGCGCACTAGTTCGACTTGTACCTGACCGGTTTTTTTTATAAAACTGTAATGCAAACACGTGAATAAATATATTTTGCCACAAACAATATTTTTTATTTAGCTTGAATCAGACTAGTGTATCTATATTTCTATTTTTTTGTACAAAATCAGGCAACCGCTTAACCATTTATGTCAGATATAAATCATTCCACGATCACGCTGCAACGAAGTTAATCAAGATATCCGCTGAGATGGAATAGTTTCCATTAAATTTCGCGCAAAGCCGCCTCCAGTTCGTTATCAATCAATTTATCTAGCTTTGCCAGCAAACACGCCAGATTTGTTGACCCACTCGACCGACCGGTTTGAGTCTCTCAATGGAGCGTACGCCATTCAATGTTGCTTGGTTGTAGGTAGGTATATTATACTTATCGTTTTTTTTTTCTCTTAAATTGATTCTGAAACAATTTAAATGTACGTATAAAGTTGAGGAATACGCAAATATTTTATTGCGAATTGCAAAAGTCTGAGTTTTATAATACCCAAGAATTATCGTAAATGCGAATTATTTGTTTCCTGATTTTTATACGTTCGAAGAATCAAATGCTCGATGGGTTCTCGGACCGAAAAACGACATTCTGATTTTCAATACTTCGAAAAGACGGCTAAAATTAGGATCCTGATTCAGTTAGTATATTATTCAGTTACGCATATGTATTCAAAATCTATAAATAACGTTTTATATAATTTAAAAGTCTACTGTGTTTTTAATATTTGTGATTTTTTTTTATGTTTTCTCCTTCTCCTTAAATAGGTATACCTGCATCGGGTACCATCTACTGTTATTGAATTCTTTAGGGTATGTTAAGTTAGAACACTGTGACCATTACGCGAACGCGAGCGAGTGTAGCGAGCATGCAGCACGGCGAACCATCTCAAAAACTTTTCGTATTTATGTATTGTACCCATAAAGTTGTAATACATCTGTGCTATTTATTTCCTCCTCGTCTACTATACCTTCAGAATTAATAAATTAGTATTTGTTAGGACAAGTTAGCTTTTTAGCTATTAAAGGATTTTTTAAGATAGAAACAAATGAAAATTAATAAGCAAGCATCATTATCCGTCATAACTACATGCATGGCATAGACTTCCTTTTATGAATTTCATACATCATAAATATTGCAATATATGATACTGCGTAGCACGTGAATAACTAAGTTAGACTGTTAAAATGACCTCTGTGTATAATGCTCTTTCATAAAGGTAATAATCATAATGTATTTTTCTTATACTATCACGTTCATTAGACTATCTGGTGTTAGCAACAAAAATTCACACACGTTTGTAACCTTAATCACATTCATTTATTATAAGACGCATTTATATTTGCCTTTATAGCAATTGCGTAGTGTAATTTGTCGAGTGTTATTTATTGTATTTTTTTGCCCACAGGCGGGTCTCCTAAGAACAGCACAAGGAGAATATTGGATTGAACCATCTACCCAAAAACCCGATAATAGCTCAGAGCCTAGACCGCACGTAGTATTCAGAAGATCAGCAGTTGATAAGATTGAAGCATACCATAGAGCAAAGAGAGAACTTAACAATAGAGAAAACACCAATGCTCACTTAAACAAATATAATCAAAGAAAATATAATCAATCTAATAAACGACAACGAGTTAATTCTAAACGAAACCGCGAGATCAAAGAAGCGAGAGACAAATGGCGAAGGGAATATTCAGAACAAAGGAGAAGAAAAATGCTATTGCTTAGGCAAAACCCTACCGAATACAGAAGACATCAAGCGAGACTTCGATTAGAAGCGAGACGGCTACAATCGAACTCTAGAAGTAATTCGGTAGAAAGCAGTAAGTCAGTAGACCAGTCGTCATCCTTGGAAAATAGATATAGAAAGCGAGTTAGGCTAACTGCCAGCGACTCAGAGAGATTACGGCGCGTCAAAAATCGAAGACGCCGTAAAAAGCGATCAAAAAATTGCGCAACTAAAGAACCGCGCAACTATATCTGGAGACAACAAAACTTGGAAAAGCAAGAATTACAACGACAAAATAGGGAGAACAGGGTAAGTAGTAGAGTTTATAGAGACGAATTCATCTCAAAAACCGAATTGTGCAGCTACATACAATTTATTTAGCAGTGAATACATAGAGATATATATATATATATATATATATATATATATATATATATATATTGGGGCCTATGTCCAACAGTGGACTGTGATAAGCTGATGATGATGATGACATAGACATAATTGTACAGCAGTGCACAGTAAGACTTTGCCAATTAATATCGTCACTGCCATATTTCAAATACCAGAAAAAAGGAATTTATTAAAAAAATGTTCCTTTACAGCAACACCATCGATACTCACGTCACAATACGTCATCCTACGCCAATGCTACGGGTGCAAGACGTTCGACTCGTTCCGTGAGCAAGCCTCGTCACGTCGAGGTTTTGTTAGTGGCTGACAAATCTATGGGCGAGTTTCATGACCGCCGCACTTTGCAAACCTACCTCCTTACTATCATGAATATGGTGAGTATAAAGTGCTACACCTTCAATGTTTTCACCTCGTACCTATCACCCATGTCTTTACAGAATGTTTCTTAAAACGAAACTATATTGTGTTGATAGAACTTACGACCAATCGCTGATAGAGAACTGCCAGATTCAGACAATCCGGCACACAACTGCATGTATTTTAACAGACTTCAAAATAGGAATTTATAATGCTCGGAAAGTTTTCATTGTTTTATACCCTCGGCTGAGCTGGCCGGAGCGATTAGATTTTGTTTGTTTGTTTGAAAGCGTATAGTTAGTCTCATTATCATCAGATTCGTCTCTGATCAAGGAAACTGGTCAAATAATCCAAAATCAAAATCACCATGCCAGTTAAATGAAGATAAAGACCCCAGACCTCTCCCTCACCAGAAGTCGCCGGAATTACTAAATAACATTTATTTTATTTATTTATTTTTCATTGGAAGACCAACAGCACATACAATTCAATACATAGACATGTTATGAAATAGCGGGTCAATTAAAGGTCCTCACGAATAAACATAAGAATACATAAGTAGTATAAGAAAAGTATGAGAAAAGACTAAGCACCCGTCTGACTGATTCCAATTTTGTATTAAAACTATCAAAACCATGCTCTTTGTATTTCTTGTTCAAAATACTGCTCGCTCGTCACAAAAACGCGTTTATTCAATAGTTGGTAGGATACTACAGAAGATGAATGGGAGTATAATGCCTTGTTACTTTGCCAGATACATTGAAAGTTTTCTAAGATTTTCGATAATAGTTTAGGACAGTCTACAGTGCCACTTAATGTTCAGCATGTAGGTCTCATCGGCTATCTCTCGTCGGATAACAAGGAGAAGAATATGGAATTTAACGCATAGTCTTAGGTAGTTTTCCGAACTGTATTCTTGTTTCAAACGGTATCATAAATATATGGGACATGTACCTAGGACTCTATACTTGACTGATCTAATATACTGCGAACAAATGTGCAGTACAAGATTTTAAAATGATGTTTCTTGTGTGAAATTCTGTGATGATTCCATATGCTTATCAAGCCTTCTTAAAATGTCCTCAATATGGTAATCGAAAAGTAACTTTTTATTTGTACTTCAATTCCATTAATATGCTAGCTAAACAATGAAAATGTTAATGTGTAAAATTGCGTAGAACACTATATGTTTTCAAAACCGGTATAAAACCGATTTATAATCTTTCCAACCCAGGTATCTTCCCTCTACATGGACCCCACGATCGGCAACTACATAAAAGTGGTCGTTGTCAAAATTATCCTTGTGGAAGAAATCGAGACAGCTCCCCAACTGAACGTAACCATTAATGCTGACGTGACTCTTGCATCTTTCTGCCGGTGGCAACATCAGCTGAACCCGGCTGACGATACGCATCCGCATCACCACGATGTTGCTATTCTGGTTACGAGACAAGACATCTGCAGCCAACATGACGCTCCTTGCAGGTAAGAATATTATTTTAAATTTAATAATAGTAGTGAAAAAAATGTCCTAATGTAGTATAAGTTCATCACTAGGTACTAAGTATAAGAAGTACATTATACTCAAACAAACACGCATAACAAATATACATTTAAACAAATATAAACTTGAACTTAACTGTGTTTTTTATTCCTTCATGTTGTTGTAAGGAGTAATAAAAACATATACAGGATCGCTGGAAACACCGATGTAGTAATAAGTAGTACTTGTATTTAAAACATTTGAATTTACTCTTTCCTTGTAAAATAAATATAAATAATCATATACAAATATATATAAATAATCATATACAAATTGTGACCGAATCCAAAAATTACAACTCGTAAAAGCAATCACGAATTACTATACAAAGCGTCTGAGAATCTGAGGACTCAAAACAACGTGTTAGAATTTTTTTTACCAAACATCGCTCAAAAAGAAGGTCAATGGCAGGAGCATACGTCTGTTAGTAAAATAAACGAAATCAAGATGAGTAACTGATGCCGAAATAGAACACTTTCAGACTTGATTGTCGACACCTGGCAAATACTTGTGTTGGCGCCTCTAATTGACGCTCGAGAATTTTCACTTCTTCCAACGATCAACCTAAAGAACGTTCAGTGTAAACTGTTTACAACATTTTTGTCGAATAAATTTCTAGTTTAATTTACAATTCTCTTTTTACACCAGGTCTATTTGATATTTTTACTTACATAGACTTTAATATACGTCGTATTAGATATTTAGCACAAAAATTACTAAGCTCGAATTATCGTCTTTTCGTCTAATAATTGTAATCCGTTTAGCTTTGCATGATGATATTGCAATATTTCATCCTCGATAATCCAAGGGACATCTGATGTATATTTTCCTGGTATTATTAATTTCACATTATTCTTCTCAATATTTACCACTAATGACCAACAAATTGGTAACAAACGAAAAAAAGAAGCGTGTACTACGAAAGGATTTACGGAGAGGTCGTAGACACAATATAGATTGGGAGTATTTCCATGACACAAAACTACAGAATTTGGTATTTAGCCGACATTTGGTATATGGAGTTAATGAAAGGTTCATGTCCCACTCCCTTCCTGTCATCCCTTAAGGATGGAACAAGAACCTAAAATCTACTTCTGTGAAGGAAATGCACTATATATCGAGCTTGATTATCTCCGGGATCCAGGATTTTGACATGAGGCTTGTGCAACTTATAGCGCTCTACACTTGACTATTACGGTCGGATTCTTAAACCACTTTGCACATATAAAATTTTCGGATACAATATACACAAACTGAAAATAACTATCTCACAACTTGCTGATTTATTTGTTTTACTGGTAAATCGCACCTACAAGACTTCGGTATGAAAGACGACGAATAGTTCGTTGTGCGTCCCGAGCATTAGCAATTCAAGTATCCAAACATTGTCTGTCTTATATTCATTTTTGTTTATACGTTTTGATAGATGCTCAAATAAGTTTACCAATTTCACACTGAAAAGCAAATATACACCTAATTGAAATAAATCATAATCTTTGTTGCATTTAGTTCTCGTTGGGGTATCGTTCACACATGTTACATAATTTTTTTCATGTTTAGTCTGTAGGCGCAATTTAGTTTGAACGTTTATTTTGTTACTAGTTCGTGGAACACTTAACCATCAACACTCCATCAATTTTGCACAACAATATCTTACAAACGTCTAACACATATCCCAACAGTTTTGATCTTATGAAATTCAGGAATCTTGGTAATAGTTACTAGGTATTGTTTTGCAGTCAGCGAAAAAGCCAAGGCAATTGCAGCATACCGAGATTTCCATTCTTCCATCTATCGATGAGACTTCGACCTAGCACCTCGTAAACGCAAATAAACTTTGATAAGACATGAAAAGAAACCATTTGGTCCGAGACGCTATTTTATATATATATACTTAAATAAAGCAGCACCCAGACGTATTAATATGTTTATTCTACTAGTTTATATCGTCAATCGTAGTTAAATGACATAATAATAATTTCAATCAGTCGAATCTTCATGTGAATTAATCCACAAGATTTTAAATAAATAGTTCATAATTTTTACTTTATTTTGTAATATTTACAGTAAGCAGAGGTGTTAAACGTGCAACAACCATTCGTCTTGTACACAGTTACATCGAATGATTTATAATGACCGTTGCATAAATCCAGGACCTCTCGACAAATTGATGTTTACATCATTATCGCTTTTTTGCGTATATTTGTGAATCGCTAACGGCGATGGACACGACCAAAGCGGTCACATCAAAAGAGCCGACATTAAGGCCAAGGCTGTTGGGTGAATACAAATTGAGCATTCATTATTTTAACAAAAGCCTATAACCATATAACGTTATATAATTACAAGTGGAATTTTTGGGCATGCGAATATTGTTCGTTACACAACGTACAAAAACCGCTTCTATATATAAGCGATTCCATCTGTAACGAGACAGTAGCTATTTATCAACAATACTAGCTACACCACGTCTGAGTATGTATAAAGTACAATGTGAGTAATAATTTACATTCAGTTCAAAAATGCAAAATTCTAGAATTTGTTTAAAGTTCCTTCACTAAGAACATTATCAGATAGTTTTAAGGGTAATCTTCTATTTACAAATACAAAGGTTCAATTTTTTATGTCACTTTAAACACAATTTACCTGGGCATCTTTCTTTTTGTAGATACAATAAATCGCAATCAAATGTAAGCTTCTGATTTAAATTTTAAATGCTAGACATATCAGGCGCCAACCTCATTAGAAAAGTGAATAATGTCAACAAATATTTTAGTTTCAACAAGTTTTAATGTACGTTCGTATTCCACAAACCTGGATACTTTGAAGATAAGCAGACGTAAGCTGTTACGCAATTTCCTACCAACAGGCACATACTCGTATGTATGTGGTTTCCAAAGTGATTAGAAACCAACATTTAGTGCATAGTTTCACTATTTAACCTAAAAAAATGTTTATATCGGCTAATATTTATATTTGCGTTCCCAGAAATGCACGTTCCTTTTTAAATAAACTATAACAAGAGAATCGAATTAACAGGAGAAATGAGGTAAAAAAGAATGGTGGCAAAGATAAAATTCTTTTAGTAGTGTAGTGTTTGGAATTTTTTGACTTGAATTTACGTAAATATTTATATTAAATATTAATATTTATATTTTTCTTAACGACGTGATTTACATCAATACACGTCGACTTGTGGCACTACTTATTACTGTTAAACATCTGAGCGATCGCATAAATCTCTTCGTTAATAAATAACACAAGATAGCCATAATATTTTAACTGTTTTGAAAGAAAGAATAGAGAAAAAAAAACTCGTATTACAGGTTTCCTTGAAACCCTCCAAGTTAACCTTAAGTTAGAAGAGTTTTCTTTATTCGTTTTTGAGGGATATTAAACACTAATAAATTTGAGCGTACTGAAAACACGTAAGAACTAACCCTACAACGATGCTATCCACATACGCCACGTTGAAAGCTCTCGACAAGCGGCAGATCAACTCGTTACCGCAATTAATTCGTATCCAGAGCACGCATGACCAAAAACCAGTGTGTAATGAATGCAATGAGGAAGCATGGTGCGTTCGGTAAACGGTACAAACGAGTAGTCGAATGTTCTCAGAAGGCAGCAATCAAAACACCATCGATGTAACGGTGTCGATTTAAAGCCGCTGGCGGTATCGCCCTGCCACCATCCATTATACATTCAACTGCATAAAAATTGCAATCATCAATACGTAAACATCAATAACAGCGAAAAACTTACATAAACGAACCGACACCGATTCGACACATGTTTTATGATAAAAAGGCATGTATGTACGCTCTGAATACTTAATTTCTTGAGTAATGTCAACTATTGTAAATAATGTACAAATTTTATCGTTGTTCAATCGCGTTTACTAATTAATTGAAAGTATATTAACATTACCAGCGGGACATCTTATTTTAATGTATTATTCTATACTAGCTACATTTTGAATAACTTGCTATGCATATGCAAGAGACATGTATAAATTATAATAAAGTATGCACTTACTATTCTATGCTGATCACAATTGGTCAATATTTGATAGATGTATGTAGTAAATTGGTGTTTTTAGCACGGAGAATAATACTTAGTTTGATGTGTCTCATTACACATAAAAAGTTTCTAGATAATACTACCATCTATTCTCAGGACGTGCATGAAGGTATAGATCTCTTGCACAAACGAAGGAAGTATTTCTTAGTACCGGCTGAGTGGACAAAGGGAGCTCGTTAAAAATAATTATATCGTTTAATTTTAATTCGTAGTTGCGATGTGTGGCGACGCCACGCCGTCTCGGGTGTCCGGCGGCGGCGCGCGGTCCAGCCCAATGCGTCTGCGCACCTCTTATCTCTTCCGCTATACGACCGCTAATCTTTTAATGTACCTACGTCAGATATACCAAATTATTGATTGACAGACAACCGTTTTTTTTTTGGGTCTATAACATGTCCCACACAGTACTTGCCTCAGATAAAATAAGAAAAGTATAACAAAGTTGTGTATGTTGTTATATTAGCAGGTGTAAGTAATATAAAAGAGACTTCGTAGTGTCCCCTAACTAAAATTATATATTTATATATATTTCATCTTAAAGTTATATCTCCATCTCTCAGAAACATTATTTTTTTCAGAAATCTTACGGACTTATCTGTCACAACAAGATCGTGCTTTTACGCTATAACTATTCATTTTAAAATTTGGCCTATAGGTTATCTGGGGTACGGGAAAGGACAAAAAGTGTTTTCATTCAGAAGAGAAAAACTATTCTCGAGGTATAGAAAAATAGTTATTTGGTGAATAAAGCCATGAGCAGAAGGTATTTAAGCATAAATAAATAGAATCTGACGGAATTTTGTGCAATTATTTAATGAAAATGGCATTGTATTCAAAAATTGTATCTGCATTCACAGTG